AAGTACAGAGAGGGAATTCAAAGGATGAAATGAATCGTTCCCCCTCAATTCGGAGGCATTTAAAGCTAATGGTACAGAGTGGAGAACATGCACGAAAAACTAGAAAGTGAAATGATTGCCTAAAATCGTCAAAAATCTATTCGCGCGCAAATCGAGGTCTACATCTGGAGGTCAGGCCTGTTTAAGCCTCAGCTCAGCCCCCACTCAAATTCACCTGGAGTAAGAGCTGGGGGGCAACTGATAGTACTCAGAATAATTTTCAAGCATGAGGTTGGACCAGGAGGTCAGACAAGCAGGTCTGAAAAATAAGTCAGGAAAGACACGCAGAGCCCAGGTCAGAGCTAGAGCTTTTCCCCAGGCACGCCAATAGCGGAAGTGATAAAGAAACAACTGGATGATAATAGAAATATGTTAGGTGGCAAAGAGCCATATTCTAGGCATAAAATCATTAATCAGCCAAGATCCTCTCCTAAGATTGAGAGTTCCTTGGATAAATAGCAAGGATTTCGGTGCAGATCTCATAGAACTAGCAACAACCCTATTAATATTATGTAACTCTCCCAAAGCAAGAGAAAAAAATGCTAGTAACATATACTCTATCCTGTAAACCTTCTGAATGATGAGTAAAGAGAAAAGGAACAAGAATCTCCATTAAAGAGTGAATTAGCCGAGCTCCCGAACTGGTGAACCACTATAATTCTATTGCGTCAATCCCCCAATTTCCCATCGATACCAATCCTTACTCTTTCGAGCCTTGTAGTTCAGATCAGATCCTAATAGCCAGATACTGATCATTCCATCTGTTCATTACCATAAATTTACACCGCATTGATTTACACCATCAGTTGTTATGAATCTTATGATCAACCCTGAAGAAATCTTTTCGTCTCCAGTAGAAAATCACAATGACCAACCTCTCTTTCTCTCAACTTTACTGTCATATGCATTTGAAGAAGTTCTTCATGTTCTTAGATTCATATGTATAAATAATAGAGATAGAGAAGGGACTGACCTGGGTCACCATGAACGGCGCTTATGAGCTGAAGTGAGATACGTCTGCTAAAGAGCTCGTACACCCGATCAAGAAACGAGGCACCCACATCATTGAAGTCCAAAACATTCTTCTTCATCAACTTTATTGTCCCTTTGATCTTCATAACCTCACTCTTGTTATTTTCCTTGGGCTCATCTCGAGCCTTTCCACAAATCATTTCTAGTGTTTTCCCTAACATCTCTGGAGTACAACAGTTCCCCGTTTGATCAAGCCCTTATCAGAACAGATTGAAAGATGGTATGAACCGGAATGTGATTAGGAAGATGGGTATTAATAAGAGAAAACTTAGTGGGTACAATGGGAATAATAGCTTTCTGTTGTACTAGTAATGTTCATTTTCTTGACTTAGGAAGACTTCGGTATTTTAAATACCCACTTGACCATCTTCTACGATGGACAAATGAAATGTGATCTTGGGCGAGAAAATATTGTGTACTTATAAGGTACCAATATAAATTGCCGCAACACTTGGTTGTCAGAACCATACAAGTTGATTTTTTCAAAAATAATTTTGACAATTTTACAAGTGGTATCAATTGATTAAAAATGTATAATATTTTATGAGTAATGTACACCGCATGATACTGTGGTGTCTGCTGAGTTCTTTGGGAGGGTTATGAAGTTTCAGTTTTTGTCTTTCCTAGAAAAAAAAAAGTAATAAATGAGTTGATTCCACCTTGGCCAGCCCATCTAGCTTTTTACCAAACATATTTTAAAGGATTGTTGTGTGTGAATACACACACACACACACATATATATATATATATGCCTGTGTGTATAACCTGTCAGTTCATCCATGGTGTCTCCTTGAGAGGTTGGATTGAACTTTGACTCCACCTTGGTTGGTTGGCATGTTCTGAGTATATGGCATAGCATAATGCAATATGAAAACCGGCTTTATAAGCCTGTTGGCTTTCGACAAAAAAAAACTGTCTTCAGCCAGTTAGGGTCTCTCTCTGTCTCTCCATGACAGATACACCCAAATGGTGGTTGTAATAAATTAATGTTGGGTTGAACCTAACCAATAAAGATGCAAAAAATATCGTAATTCACATTTATGATCAGTTACAAAACTGAAAAGTGAAAGAATTGTGTGATTCCTTGAAAGCAAGAAATTGGGAGGCAATTACGGCTCACACTGCACCAGATAACCAAAATGTAGTTGTATTTTAACTGAAGTCTGGAGAGATATAGCGTTTGGGTTATTATTTGGCGAGAGAAAGGTATTGACCTACCTAGTCAATGTGAAAATGACCCATGCCTCTCTCTCTCTCTCTCTCTCACACACACACACTTAGTATCAGAAGTGTTTTTGAGGAAATGGTTGTTGATAAAAGACGAATGAGAAATTGATTATAGTTTATTGGTTGAGGGTTTGATTAGAGAGACCATAGAAGTAACTATGGAAAGTAAAATTACAATAAATAAAGATGACAAAAAGGTATGGAATCGGCTTCATCTTCCCTGGATTTATTTCCATATTCACTTGATACCCTTTCAAAATGAGTTAAAAGATCCCTTGGTTAAACTTTAAGTTATATGGCAAAAAAATGAATTAAAAAATAAGGATTAAATGATGCAACAATTGACATGTTTGATACTTCCTTTTTGTTGATGATTTGATTTTCTTTTTATATCCTTTAAAAATGGTTTCTGCTGATGGTACTTTTTAAATGATTACTAGGTAGATTTCCTTCCTTTTTATATACTAAATTGAAAGATCTCCCCTTGTATATTTTCGTATTCTTATACTGAATTCTTGGAATCATCGGAAGGGAAGAGAAGGCTGGTGCATTGGTGTGGATGTATTTGTGGTGGTTATTCATTGTGTATGACTATGGGGTTCACTCAACAGTAGATCTCTCACTCAAGTGTACCCAAAGATCCTGCAATTATGCAGCCTATACAGTACGAGTGTCTTTACTTCAAACTATTTGTAAAATTTTAGGTTTGTATATTTATTATCCGTTTGTACAACCATATAACGTGCATTGTATACAAAGGTGTAAAATTTAAATTTTTTTGACACTTCGTACATGTCTAGTTCTCTTTCAATGTTTTTTTAAAATTATTTTCTTCCATAATAGACATCAGTCATGTATCAATGAGAGATTTAGTTTCATATAATAGATTCTACGCGAATTCACGATAAATAATTTATTAGAGAAAGAAAATGAAAAAAAAATTGAAATTCCACTCCCATTTTGTACATCTTTGCCAAACGATGTGAAATAAGGTGACAAAAGCATATCAATTAACTATGACTCCTAGTCCATTTTTATAAGGATGTTTGGTAACATTTTAACATAATTCATCCTTATTCCACTTGAGGACAAAGTCTGAACCTTTGTAACCCCACTTGAGAGAGAGAGAGAGAGAGAGGGGGGGAGAAAGAGGGAAAAAAAAATAATGGCACTTGTGATCTCCGTTTTGTCTCATTTTAGTTCCCAACATTCCAATTTCATCATATTGGTGATTGGTCTCTAATGTATTCAATTTGATTTAATTTGATCCCCACCATTGATGTCGTCCACTTGTTGACAATTCCATCACCATGTGCCATCCACGTGATGGGCATGTTTGACAAAACACCCTACTTAGCCAGTCAAAGGTCGGGCTATCTCAAAATGGTCATGACCTGATTTTTCACTTCCACTGCAATGACAATGGCAATGTTGAGAGCTTCTGATTGAGACAAAAGGGGCAAAAATAAGTTCTAGTATTGATCAAGACAAAATGCAAGAATGAATTTTTGCACCTTCATCTTGGTTGAGTGACGCTTAACTGTGGTACTATTAGTTCAAATTCTTTCATAAGCGAATGCTTTGAATTATTCTATTCTTATAGCAATCACTGTTTCAGATTCTGCTCTTTTGCAATTTTTGACCCCATATTCTGGGTGTGCCATGGGGGAATATTTGCGTAATAATGGAATGCTCGCCTTAATAATCTATGATGATCTTAGTAAATAGGTGGTGGCATATCGACAAATGTTATTATTGTTATGCCGACCACCAGGCGATGTTTTCTATTTATATTCTCATCTCTTTGAAAAAGTGGCTAAATGATTGGACTAGACAGGTGTAGGTAGCTTGATCGCCTTATTCATCATTGAAACACAAGTTAAAAACGTATCGGCCTGTATTCCCACAAATGTGATCCCTGATGGACAAATCGGTTTGAAAACTGACTCTTTTATCGTGGAATTAGACTTGTTTAGTTTTGAAATCTATCAGTCACATCGAGTCTGTCACTCAGTTGAAAGCTACGGAACAAATTTACAGCATCTCAAAACTTGAATTGAGTCCATCTTTGCTCAATTTGAGTCGGACCTTGATGCTGTGACTAAGGCATTATTCAGTAGATGTGCAAGGCTTACAAAAGTACCAAAACAACCACAATATGTACCACTTCCAATTAAAAAATAAATTCTAGTCGTTTATGTAGCTGTCAATGGATTATGTAATCAAATGCCACTAGACAAAATTTCTCAATATGAGAGTCATTTCGAGTAAATATAAAACTAGAATTACCATAATCCCTTTTAGAAAAAGGGGGGGTTAACTAACGAGAAAAAGATGGTTTGTTTCATTTGGAGGATGAAATGGAATCAGGCTGCAGAAGACGATGTTCCCCATTACAGTATGTATTGATTTTAAAAAGTCTTGATGTTGTCAAATGGATTTTTTTATGCAAAACAATTATTTGTAGCAATATTTTATAGTTTATGTGGTTGCTAGAAACAGTTTGTTTATGCAAAATGAATTTTATATGTTGTATTTTACGATGTATGCGTTCATTGGAAACCATTATAGTTTATGTGCTCCTTGGAAACAAGTTTTCACACCATTTGGCAATTTTTATGTTTTTCTTACAATATGTGTCAAAAAAATCATGTTAGAAGCTCTGTACAAAGCCTCACAAAGGAAATGTATGAGAAGACAAACCATCATTTATTCCACTTGTTTAATTGGGGAACATGTCTGCATCTATAGCTGCCTCTAGTATGATTTTGGAAAATAAATTTAAAACTGGAGGATACAAAAACCCAGTTGGTAGTCTTTTTCTTGTGTGGTACAACATTCTCCAATTTTCACGGCCTCAAAATACTCTCTAACCATTTCATTTTATAGCTTCATATTGAGACACTGTTCGGAATTCCCTTGCCGGTAAGTCCTCCAACTTTACTGGTATCTGATGTGCTAGGATAGAGCAAGGTGTAAGGCACTTTGACAGGCCCGACTCTGTTCTTCCATCTCTCGTCCATGTTTCTATCCAATATTCTACCTTCGATTTCTACCAGATTTCTTCCAAATCGCTCAAATGCCTCTCGTGGTTGAGCTTCAGAAGTCCATTCAGGAGTGTCTCTCTGCCCAAGATAGATCTCATCTGAAGAATGCCGGGACAAAATCTCTATCAGAGCCACACCCAATAGTGATTGGAATTGACTTGTGATTGTTTTCAGGAAGGCCCTTTCAGGATTTGACGCAAGCTCAGCATACTCGGGAGTGCCTGGCTCAAGCATGAAACGACGGCTTATGGTTGGACGGTTTGGAAGGTAGCCAGCATAAGGATATTGCCCAAAATTGACAGCTGCATGTAGAGCAGAAGCCACCCATATGATAATGTTGCAGGTTTGGACGAGTTCATCTCTCGTCTGCATCTTAGGCCACCATGGTTCATCTTTCTTGTCACCATGGCCCACATCACGTAGCTCTGTCCACCAGGATTGGAGTTCAGGGTCACTTTTGACCATGTCATCCACAGGATAATAGAAAGAGCAATACTCTGTGACCCAGCTTTTGATTGCAGACCAGATTTCAAGCCCATCAACTGCATAGGGATAATCCTCTATTAGCAGTCTGAGTCCATGCGGCTGGCTTGAGTCTGGAACTGCCATTCCTCTGCAAGAAAGCAAAATTGGAAACAAAATAATTGTTAGGAAAGATCCAAAATTGACAACACCATTGTTTATGTGAAGCATGTGAACTAACCTGTTGAGCAGATCAGTAGGAAGCGCCTGGTCTGTGAAAGCCCAGTTCTTATAAATAACAGCAGATAGTTCCATGGAATATTTAGCTGGAAAGACTGTAATCTCAAGCACCCCACCTGCATTGATGAGGATATGCCGAGCCAAGGCATTAATATTCATTGTATCACGGAAATGAGGATGAAGAAGTTTATATATTGGGTGAAGCACGCTTAATTGTCTGTTTGTTGCAATCACAAACGGCTCTATTACTGCATGGGTGTTCAACCTGCAACCGAAATTAGAGTCACTAAGGTATGCATTAATTGCTAATTACAGCGAAGCTTCTAAATATTTGCCTTACTGTGCGTATTTCTGTTTTTAGTCCTTTAAACATACCAGTGGCTAATGAGCTGATGATAGCCAGAATCGTTGACAGCAGCATAAGCTTTGGCTAGCTGCCATACCGAACCTTCTACTCCATGCTCTGCTGGAGTGAAGACTTGGCTGGTGACTCCATATTGGACTCCTTGTGGATGTGGTAAGCTCAGCTCAATTGCCAGTGGCTTCAATGTCCCATTGTTTTGGAGTAAGAGGAGCGTTCGGCTGGCGTAGGTCTTCGTGGTAGTCGAGTTAATGACTTGCAAGTAAGGCATCAGTGCATCATGATGATCTAATATGAAGAGCATATTATTCTCAAGTGCCTGTAATTGCACAAAATTAATAAAAAAATGAAATAAATAATTCCTATATTAAAAGTGCAACACACACATCATACAAAAAAAATGTCAATAGCCTTGAAGTATCCTCTTCTTTTTGCCTTTCTAACCCTTAATTTACTAAGTAAGTGAGCATAAAATGAATTAGGAATAAAATACTTCATCCACAGTTAGCCCATTCATGTTCTTCTCGATGTGCTCCCTTTTGATTGTACTGGTTTGATTTCCATATTTTGCAGGGTCAAGCTTGCTGGCAGGTGGAAACTCCTGATACGCACATACTCGTCAGAAACCAAAATCCATTAACGGGTAATTTCTAGAATCAAATTTTGTTTTACCTGAAGGCGACGGATGATGACAGGATTTACTCCGGCGAGCATTTCCCGTCCAAATTCTTCATCTGTCCTCCAAGCAGACTTATCCTCTGCAATTATTTGGTGAAACTTTATAATCTTTAATATTAGTGATTAAGTGTATCATTAAGGCTCTAAAGCTTCAAATTACCACAAAATTAAATATTTAAAACTCTAGTTCATAAAAACCAAACGAGATGGGGAATTTTTTTTACCTTTTATAACATCAGGCATTGGGAGTTTGAATAGTCGCCCACCGTCATTGGCAAGGAGTTCCTTGCGCATCTCCCATGGGATGCGTTCCCTAAGTTTGGTTAGTGTCTGACTATTTGGTAGCTTAACCCCATCATCATAGAGCTTAAGTAACGCTTGGAAATTGTTAAACTCATTAGGAGTTGTGTCAAATGAACTGATCTCTGAGACCAATACCTGGCCTATAGATTTGAAAGCATAGGCAAGGAAATCTGAAAACTTCACGGGATCGAACCGTTCATCCCGTGGAACATATATGTCTAGATCAAGAAGTGGCAATCTGCTTTCAGTGTTAGGATCTGCAAATACAATAGAAAAATGAACTGTTGATTAAAAGTACTAAAAACTTGTAGCTGCCTATAAACAAAAAAGCGAATAGGGTATGACACATTTTAAACTTTAACATGCTTTATTCCATCAAAAATTCTGAAACAAGAAGAATTAAAACCTCTTAAAATGACTATTTATCAGTAATTCTGCTTCGAACCTTTTTTTGACGGTGCACGACCTGTTCTTCCTCTTCGGGGGTATGGGAACTTCTCCGATCCACCAAGCACAGGACGTTCATATTCTTTGCCCTTGTCTGGATTTCCCAAATCATTGTAGTATGCATAGTCATAGACTCTGTCCCACTTCTTGAGCTGTCCCGATCCATTTCCGCGAAGATTAACTAGTTCTTTTTCTCTATACAGGCGTAGAGGTTCTGGAGTGTTACATGGCAGGTAGGTCTGATAATAGAATCATGGTAGAGTTAGTGTGCTTACTTCTCGTCTTCGTCCACACTTTAACAGCCAAACAAACTTATTAATTTCGTGAGGTTCATTTCTAGAAAAAGAAGTGTGATAATAAGCAGGTTTCAATTATTAAGAATAAAAGGTAATCATCATTATATGACGTGTACTATAAATATGGGGTCCTATGTTTTGCTACAAACAAAACACAAAGTAGTGGCTGGTGTACCAGTCTGCTTTCGAATATTATCATTGCTAAATGACTATAAAGCATAATGTTCAACCCCCCAAACCCCTATGTATTCACAACCCATTGGAGAATAGAAATATAGATATGAGTTTGCTTGTTTTGTTGATCATACATTATTTTAAGTAAATTCAAGTGAAAAAATTACCTTGTTTGCAAAGAAGACCCGGTCGTATTTGTAACGATGTGCTGGGTAAACCCAAGAATTGCAAATGAAATGGATTTGACCATGTCCGGGAACATCTTGTAGAGTTACTGTCTTAAGGTAGAACTGATTGTGATGGTAATTTTTTATAATGAAGGCACCAGGAACACTCATGGATTCATCCCACTCAAATAAAATGTTGACTGTAGCGTCTCCGGCCGATACAGATGTGAGTGTTGAAATCCAGTTTTCCACGAATGCTGTTTTTCCAAGCTTCCCTTTTAATCCATTTGCTGCTAACATATGTGAAACAAAAACTTGAGTTTGATGAAATCAATGGTAAAGTTTGTCTTTGTCCTACTCAAGAATGATTCTTTTTCTATTTCATGATTATCGAGAAAAAACATCGCATCTAAATTTTATATTTCTAAGCAAATGTCAATAAATTAGACTCAGAAGTATTAAACCCATTCTTAGGGCATGCATAAGAAGAGATTTGAGTTCTCATATTTGATTTAAATGTTGGAAACTCAGCTGCTATACTTGGTTGCAGGGGAAGCACAGGAAAGAAACTCAAAGATCATTGTAAGTCTCCTTCTCTCTTCTCCAGCAAGACTATTTGTTGAAGTGAAGCTTTGATTGATTTGAATTATGCGTTTTATTCTAAATTGTGGAAAACATCATACTAATTCTTTAATTTTGCATATATTCCCAAAAAGAAAACTACACTTCATAGTTCTTAATTTCTTGTTATGATCAACCCTGAAGAAATCTTTTCGTCTCCATTAGAAAATCACCATGACCAACCTCTGTACTTCACTGTCATATGAATTTCAATTTCTTCTTCATGTTCTTAGATTCATATGTATAAACAATAGAGATAGAGAGGGCCCTGACCTGGGTCGCCATGAACGGCGCTGATGAGTTGAAGTGAGACACCTTTGCCAAAGAGCTCGTACACCAGATCAAGAAACGAGGCACCCACATCATTGAAGTCCAAAACATTCTTCTTCATCAACTTTATTGTTCCTTTGATCTTCAGAACCTTACTCTTATTATTTTCTTTGGGCTCGTCTCGAGCCTTTCCACACATCTTTTCTAGTGTTTTTCCCAACATCTCTGGTATAGAACAGTGGCCCATTTGATCAAGCTCTTAGCAGAATAGATTCAAAGAAGGTATCAACTGGAATGTGATCAGGAAGATGGGTATAAATAAGAGAAAACTTAGTGGGTACAATGGGAATAATAGCTTTCTTCGGTACTAGTAATGTTCATGTTCTTGACTTAGGAAGACTTGGTGTTTTAAATAAGCCACTTGATTATCTTCTATGCTGGACAAATGAAATATGATGGTTGGCTGTTATGACTTGCGAATTTCAATTTTTTAATTGTCTTTCCTAGAAAGACAAAAAGTTAAAGAAATTAATTCCACCTTGGCCATCCCATCTGGCTATTTACAAAACGTATTTTAAGGGATTGTTGTGTGAATGGGCACACACACACATACATATGTATGTATATATATGTATATAACCTGTCAGTTTCATCTAGAGCTGACAAATGAGTGGGTTGAATTGGTTATGAGTTAGGTTAAATTAGATTGAATTAAAATAAATTTATAACCCAATGAGTACCAATTTATAATTCATATTAACCCGCTTAATTAAAATTAATCATATTATCCAACCTATTTAGAATTCATATTAATTAATATAAGTACCTAACTCATTTATTTACGGACGAGTTGAGCAAATTAATAGGTAATTGATTAAAATTGTGACATCTAGTGTCATCCATGTTGTCTCCTTGATAGGCTGTTTGAACATAGTTAGGGGCCTCTCTCTCTCTCTCTCTCTCTCTCTCTCTCTCTCTCAGATACACCCAAAAGGTGGTTGTAATAAATAAATGTTGAAACCTAACCTACAAAGAATCAAAAAATATCCTCATTTACATTTATGATAAGTTATAAAAATGAAAAGCGAAAGAATGGTGTAAGTCATTGAAAGCAACAAATTGAAATTGAAATTTCTTTTATATCCTTGACTTTCTTTTATATCCTTTAAAAATTGAAATTTCCATGAGGGGAGAGAAGGCTGGTGCATTGGCGTGGAGGTATTCTTGTGTTGCAGTGGTTGTTCTGTTGAAATTATTTCTATTAGACTTTCACTCAATTTTTCTGAATATGAAATCACTCTTTGCGTGAGTAAAGGGTTCACTCAACAATATATCATTCATTGAAGGGTACCAAAGATCCATTGGTCACATAGCTTGAACATTACGAGTGTCTATAATTCTGACTATTTGTAAAATTTTAAGCCCATATTATATAATTTTTACCGGCCAAGTTTGTACAACTATATAATTTATAAAATTTAAATTTATTAAACACTTCATACGGATCTAGTTCTCTCTTAATAGACATCAGTCATGTATTGGTAAGAGATTTAGTTTGATGCAATAGATTTTATTTGAATTCATAAGTAATTTATGGGAGAAAGAAAATGGAAAAAAAAATGATGAAATTCCCCTCCCACTTCATACATCTTTGCCAAAACGATGTGAAATGAGGTGACAACTGCGAATCATATATGGCTCCTGGCCCATTTTTATAAGGACGTTTGCTATTATATTGACGTAATTCATCCTTATCCCACTTGAAGGCAAAGGAAGGAGAGAGAGAGAGAGAGAGCAGCAACGCCACTGGATTCGAAACCAAAGGTTGGTCAAGGGGCCACCAAAAGCAACTTAGTCCATTGGCATGTGTAACACGTTCCAACAATCAAATCAAATAGAAGTTTCATGGCAAGTAACTTGTTCATAGCTACCATCTGTACGTTACAAATAACATTAGGTCATACATGGAGAGATGAACAAATTTAGTTCAAATTGAGTTCTATTTTTATATTTTCCATGACTCTTCCATTTTTGTATTGTAACGTCTTGGCCCCTTAGAACATATGATAGAAGAACAAACGGGTCGTTCCTACAAACACAAAGCACCCAAAAAAGATTAGAAGATTTTCTCTCTCATAGAATCAACTATCGTTAATAAGTAATTGTGTATTAGAGGTCGAATTACTTTACGTTTTTTGACCGTTTCGTTCATAAGTTCAGATTTTGAAGATGCGTTTTTATAGTTCACTTGACAGTGAAGTATCGTCACTTTTTATTTTATAGTGGTCGCACATTACCTCCCCCAACTGCTTCACCATTCCTTATTCAAAGGTTCTCTCTCCCTGTGTTGTCCCGACTCCCTTGTGCCCTGAGGCTGCCCCGGCTGTGGTGCCGATGTGTCAGCATTAGTCTTGGTAGGGTAGGAGTGGTGGAGGAGGAGGGGCAGTGGCAATGGCAGTGGTGGATGTTGGTGGTGTGTTCATGGATGTGTGTGTGTGTGTGTCTATATATATATAGAGAGAGAGAGAGAAGCAAAAGTAATGTATAAGTTTGGTGTTTGAATTTTGGTTATGGATGATATGCTAGTTGTTGCTCTATTCCCCTCGGTGGGGGGACAAAATCTGGAAGTATCAATTATATTTTAGAAGCTCTAAAAGGTATATCTTTTAAATCATCAAAAACCATAGAGAGAGAGAGAAAGAGTATTGTAACATTTTCAATTATTTATTTAGTGGACCATATAGTTGGTTCCTCAAATATTTATTAACCTACTTAGGATTCTTTATGAATACCAATGAATAGAGAATCCAGTGTTATCGTGAAATGCAATAAAGCTTTAGCATAGTATTTTTACACATGCATTGACATCCTAACTAAAGACAATATGTCCTCGAAGGAGATGATGGGGGAATCTATGAGAAAGTTTGGTAAGCATTTAATTCTCAAGTTACAGGTAAGCATTTAATTCTCAAGTCACCGACACATAAGGATGTCAGTGGACCGAAGTGGGGACGGGAGTATAATCTTCATCTCCGTACCCACTTAAAAAAACTCTATATCTATCTCCAGTCTACCCCCGTTTACGGATATAATTTTCATCCACATCACCGTCTACGAGTAAATTTTTAATTCCCGTCCCCGCTTCTCCATACCCACCCAAGTCTAAGTTGATTATAGAATAATCAACTAAGTAGAAATCAAACTATAATAAAATAAATTTACACTCATTATGGAATAAATTGGACTAATTTTCCAACCCATAACGGGGGGGGGGGGGGGGGGGGGGGGGGGTCACTCAAGAAACGGCATGTTCAAGTGTCATGTTACACAATAATTATGAAAATAGTATGATCACATGGGTGGCATTTAATTTCTGACTGATCGATATGCATACTTAACATCACATGACTATCAAATAATCTTATAATGCACTTCTAGCTGTAATGATGAAATGACCCATCCAATAGAATTCTACATCCAAACAGCTTAAGGGTATACCAGTTATAAGTGATTAGCGAAACAAGAAAAGGACGGTACATAGATCAATAATCTATTTACTTCTTTATCCAATCTAGTTAAAGGTAGAAAGACATTCAAGCAGTTATGACTCCATATCGCATATTATCTATGAAATGCACAAAAAATAACAATAATGTGCTAAATGATAAACATACTCACACATCATATGTCGAAATAATGACGTCAAACAGAATTATATAATTTGTATTTTTATAAAAACATTTTAAATGTTAAATAAAATTTCCTCCTCTAACCTAATCCCTATAAAGCATTTCTTGCAATTAGAAGTTTTAAGCACTAAAATCTGACTTCTGTCTAAAAACATAAAATAAGAAACAATTAGTTCTAAAGGAAGTGCACTAACCAGCAAGAGATATATAGATATTAAAGGGGATCTTTTGAGAAGGTAGAAGAAGAGATTCTGATCTGTGTTCCTTCGTAGATGTAGCTGGAACAAGAAAAACAAGATAGACAAAAAGTGATTGACCAATGATATGTGTGTGTGCTCGTGTATGGAGGGAGAGACGATGGAAAGAGAGAGACAGTGGGATGGAGGCAGGCGGCTGATCGAGGAAGAGTAGAGTAAGTTAGGGCTTTAACTGGGAGTATATATATATAATAAAGTATAACGAATTTAAATTTTGGAGATAAAGAGTGATTTAGATCGTTCCGTAACCAAAAAAAAAGCATCATCTAATAGACGATGTTATCTCAAACTGTCTCGAGCTATTGACTGTCGTTTTAATCCAACGTACCACATTAACTCTTTTGAAATGTTTTTACTGTTTAAAATTTATAGTTTGCAAAATTGATATTCCAAAATTTAATTCTCCCAAATCTTTTCTTTAAATCAAACAAATCTTTCTCTCTCTTTCACGCTCAATTCACTCAAAAAAGTATCAATTTTTCACAATATTTTCCTTTGTATCTCACGAAAATATTAGATAGTGTCTGATTCAAGCAAATATTGCATCTTTCTATAGATAAATACTATATATCACAGAGAGATAATATATTACGAAAATATTCTTCTGCATCTCTTTCTAGAGAAAAATTATATAATAAATTTAGATAGATAGTATAAATCACGAAAATATTCCTCTGTATCTCTCAATTTCATTCAAGCAATACCACAAATACGAATCATACAAATTCAATAGTCAATTTTGTTTACATAACTTACAAAAAATGTAATTTAACAAAGAAATATGTTTAACATATAAAATATATAAGATTAAATTCAATGTATTAGGTAACTTAGATATCAAGAAATATATTAAAAAAATATGTTTAACATTTAAAATATACAAGATTAAATTCATATACAAACACGAATCATATAAATTCAATATTTAGTGAACAACACAAAGTAACAATATTTACTAAATAATCCAAATTTAACTACCCGAGAAAAATGATACAAAATTACAAACAAGAAAAATGATACAAAATTATAAGTAATACTATGAACACGAATCATACAAATTTAATATTTAGTGAACAACACGAAATAACAATCTTTACTAAATAATTCAATACTAAATAACGTTTAGTTTAAGAAAATATACTAAAAATATAAAAAATCGAGAAGAATGATATAAAATTAAAAGCACTACTATAAACTCGAATCATACAAATTCAATAGTCAGGTAGTATCTTTTAAAAGTCGGTTAAATATCTTATAGTTATATTTGGTCATTTGACAACACCTGCAGACTTAGTTTATTT